CCATCTCCAGTGGCGCTGTCGGTGAGAGCGAAGTGCTCGGCTTGGCGGGTCGACTGACAGTTTCAGCTCTGGATCAAATCCAACCCGACTACGGCTAAACAGCCTGAAAAAACCTAAACGACAATAATACTTGTGTAAAAAAAGAAATGGATACATGATATCAATGAACTCTCTCTCTATGGAGGATATCATATTTTATTAATATACTAAGTGACATATAAATCCGAACACCCAGTTTAAATGGTTTTATTTTAATAAAAGTTGGTGAATGTATTTATCTTACTATAAATAACAAGTGAAAAAATTTTCAGCCTTATCAGTTGGACATTCCGGTTTTTATACTGCTTTTTTTTAATTCACTAACGCTCTAAAAATGAATATTTCAGCCGCAGTAAAGAATCAACGTTGGCGGATTTTGGTTCTTGACATCCTTTACGATCGGTTACGATGCCTAGAGTACGGAGACCTGTACGATTTCGTCAACTTAGTGAGTTTGGCCGTATAGTGGGACTTCGGGAAGCTGGACTTTCTTTTCGGGCAATTGCAGTTAGAGTGCAAAGAAGTGTAGACACTGTGGTTAGGTGTTGTCAGACATGGCTTCGAGAAGGCCGTACGCAAAGAGCAAGGGGCACTGGACGCCGCCGTAGAACAACAGACCGTGAAGATCGCCGCCTAAGATTATTGGCCTTAAAGGACCGTTTCTCCACGACCAGGTCCATTGCAAATGAATGGTTTGCAGAACACGAAAGACCTATTGGCATGCGAAGTGTTTACCGACGAATGAGAAGTTTTGGCTTGTTTTCATACCGGCCACACTGGGTCCTCCCTTTAACTCGAGAACACCGACGTAATCGCCTTGAGTGGTGCAGACAACGGTCACTCTGGGATCAGGAATGGAACAGTATTGTCTTTAGTGACGAGTCTCGATTTTGTTTAGGCATGCACGATGGTCGTGCCAGGGTTAGAAGGCGACGTGGTGATAGGAGGAAACCACAGTTTTTTGTTGAAATACATGTTCATCACACTGTTGGAGTTATGGTTTGGGGTGCTATAGCTTATGGTTCCAGGTCACCTTTAATCTTCATCAGAGGTAACATGAACGCGCAGCGTTATATCCACGAAGTTCTAGAACCCCATCTTTTACCCTATCTTGACACCCTGGCAGATCCAACTTTCCAACAAGATAATGCCCGACCACATGTTGCAAGAGTCACAATAGACTTCTTTCAACATAATGATGTCACATTGTTACCATGGCCACCAAGATCTCCCGACTTATCCCCAATTGAGCACGTGTGGGATATGATGGGTGCAACGTCCTCCTCAGACTCTAGAAGCACTTCGAGAGGAGTTGGTGGTTGCCTGAAATGAGATACCACAAGAGGACATTGACCACCTGATCAGAAGCATGCCTAGGCGCGTTGGAGAATGCGTAGCACATCAGGGTGCATCCACACATTATTAAAGGTCAAAGGGCTTTAAAGCAGTGCAATCATTTTGAAATTTTTATCATTTACTGATTATGCTTCATTAAGTACTTATACAAAATTTTATTAAAATAAAACCATTTAAACTGGGTGTTCGGATTTATATGTCACTTAGTATATATTAGGTAACTCCGAAAAATTGAGATATACCCTCTTTCACTTCCACCCCCAAGTTTTACTCTTCAAAAAAAATCCAAACATGAGTAAGAGTCTCTGAATCGCTAACAAATTATAGTCCGAAAAAACTAAAGAACTCGCTTTAATAGCAAATCGAACTAAGAAGTAGAAAATAATTTATAAGTATAGAAGAGTCTTTGTATTTCTGCTATTGTATGACTAATTAGTTTGAAATAATATCAATATAAAGATTAAGATAAAAATTTCAGAAACGCTGCTGACGCGGTTCTTATCGAATATCGCCACGTTTTCTAAAATCAAATGAATAAGTTAAGAAGTACCCAATATTGTACGATTTAAGTCACGAACGTTGTGGATATCTACGTAATTCGGGCATTAAAGTATGATTCTCCATAGAGAGAGAGAGTTCATTGATATCATGTATTAATTTTTTTTCCTTAAACAAAAGTATTATTGTCGTTTAGGTTTTTCAGACTGTTGAGCCGTGGTCGGGTGGTCTTCAGACCAAATCCAACCCTTAACCCTCTTAACAGCCCGAAAAACCTAAATTTTTAATTTCTTTGTAATGGGTGATTTTTTTGCTAGTATCTTTTTGGCCACACTGTTTTTGACAGATGACGCGTGAATCGTGTCTTGTGTCGTTGTCAAACTTGTTCAGTTTGGTCTATAATTTAACCATGAATCGACTTACGAACGAACAACGCTTGCAAATTATTGAATTTTACTATCAAAATTCATGCTCGGTTAAGAGAGTGCATCGAACACTGCTTCCAATTTGTGGGCAATTTGGTCGGCCTACTGAGGGAGCTATTCGGAAGCTTGTGACTAAATTTCGAACCCAATTTACATTATTGGACATTAAACCACCAACAGACGGTGAGTGAGGACTGAAGAAAATATTGCGGCTGTATCCGCCAGTGTTAGTGATGACCGTGAAATGTCGATTCGCCGCCGTTCGCAGCAATTGGGCCTCTGTTACTCCACTACGTGGAAAATTTTGCGACAGGATTTGGGTGTAAAACCTTATAAGATACAGCTGGTGCAAGAATTGAAGCCACACGACCTCCCACAACGTTTCCAATTTGGTGAATGGGCGCTGGCAAAGTTGGAGGAAGATCCACATTTTTATCGAAAAATTGTGTTCAGCGACGAAGCTCATTTCTGGTTGAATGGGTACGTTAACAATCAAAATTACCACATCTGAAGACCAGCCAGAAGCATTGCAAGAGCTACCAATGCATCCCGAAAAAAATCACTGTTTGGTGTGAATTATGGGTCGGTGGCATCATCGGGCCGTACTTCTTCAAAGACGACAATGGCCGGAACGTAACTGTGAATGGCGAGCGCTACCGTGCGATGATAACAAACTTTTTTTTGCCCAAAATGGAAGAGCTGGAATTGGCTGACATGTGGTTTCAACAACACGGTGCCACATGCCACACCGCACACGAAACAATGGCCCTATTGAGAGGCGAGTTCGGTGAACAGTTTATCTCACGTTTGGGGCCCGTCAATTGGCCGCCTAGATCGTGTGATTTAACGCCGTTAGACTATTTCTTGTGGGGCCATGTTAGGGCTAATGTCTACAGGGATAAACCAGCAACGATTGAGGTACTGGAAGCCAATATTGAAGCATTTATTCGTGAGATACCGGCCGATATGTTGGAGAGAGTGTGCCAAAATTGGACCTTGCGCATGGGCCATCTAAAGCGGAGCCGCGGCCAACATTTACATGAAATAATCTTTAAACATTAACTTATATCGACCGTTCTATCGACTCAAATAAAGATTTAATCGTTTTATCATATTTTTGTGTTTTTTTTTAAATCAAATCCTATATATAGCTCTGTCGCCACTAGATCGATTTTCAAAAACTACAAAATTCAATAGTAATAACCTTGTGTTATCAAAATCCGAGCAGTACTTTTCAAGCTATGGAGTAGCTGAAAATTAACGGACAGACAGACCTCCAGGCCGACGAAAATGAATAACATTGTTTTTCGAGCGGAACCTCTAAGAGTGATCGCTTCAAATAGTATAACAGAACCATTTAGTTTTACAGTAAATTGGATTTACTGTACTTTCCTACTATGTTAAAATAATCCGCCATTACATCAATTCACAAATCGGGAGACGAAACAAACATGTCAAATTATCGTCCAATTTTCCTTCTATCGTCCATAGCAAAAATTATAGACAAAAAAAATTAAAATTACCATCAACACAACATGCCATGAAAGTAGTCTCATCAGAAATTAGTCAGTGCATTGGTGTATTTCTATATTTAAAAAAAGCGTTGATCATTCTCAATTACTTGATGTTATGTGGTGCTTAGGGATAAGAGGGAGCTCACACAAGCTGTTTAGCAGTAACCTTCAGAACAGGGAATAATGCGTCATTATTCATGGAGCTTATAGTAATATTCGAAAAATATCCTGTGGCGTTTCTCGAACCACTGTATTAGTACATTATTATTCAATACATACTTGAATGATTTTTACGATATCGAAGCACCTGGAAAAATTTTGCCGACGCTACAATCATTCTCTACGGTCCAATAAATCGGAGTCATCTGAATACTGTTTGTGAAAATGAACTTAATATTAGGATAAAATGGTTGAAATATGGTCTTCTAACTGTAAATTATAGCAAAACGTTCATCATATTCCAAAAATTTTCCTGGCTACCAAACATTCAATCGTATTGATGAAAATACCTACGAAGTAGTTTCAAGGAAAGACACTGTAAAATATCCAGGTGTCTATATAGACCCACATCTCCATTGTCAAAGAATTGAAATTTCTTCTTTATAAAATCAAAAATTATAAGCAGTTTCTGACAGAAAACCAATTGAAAGTTCTTCATAATTTAAATTGTGTTGAATATGAGTATCGTACAAGAAATCGATATGATTTAGTAAAAATTCTCCAACCAGGAAAGAACTCATTGCTACGATGTAGGTCCTTTCTTCTACCAGCTGAGATAAAGAGGCAAACAAACATTAACAAGTTTAAAAAGGAGTTGAAGAAATGGATAATATCTGCTCCTCGATCGAAAATTCATCAAGCTATCGACCTAAAGAATACTTATTTCGAATAACCTTTTCCCATATTTGTGGAGCGAACAAATTAATGTACTACTTACCTTTCCATTTACTTCACTTATTTTATCTAATTAAACATTAATATGTTTAGGTTGTGTAAGGTATAAACATTTGATGTAGGTATGTATTTGAATAGTCACATGGCCTATGCACAAGGAACTCGTATTCCTTTATATGGGATCGTTCAAATACATTTGAATGCTGTTTGTAAATTTTTTTTGTAATATTTCCCCGTCAATTGGCCTCGAACTAAAATTTATTAATTTGCTGTAATGTTTCTGTTTTATTCTAGGGGCGGTGGAGTGAGTGTAAGCGCGATCACGTCGAACAAGCATCATCGATTCAAGAGCAGGCAGCAGTCTTTCTCTTCTTCTTCTACTGAGCACACTAGTAATCCTATAGCTGCCGCGGTGCGTAGGTTAGTGCAAAACATAAATAAGATTAAGTATCAATGCCGTTCTGGCAACAAATCAGTTTTAGATGTTGATAAGTACAAAGATCGAATTGCGGAAATCAGTGAAGCAAAAACTGAACTAAATTTCACTGAAAAACTTGATCCACTTGTTTTCTAACTCGCTGATATATCCCGCATATCATGTCAACTTGTCAAAAATGAAAATAGAGGATCCAGTATGGCGGACATATTTTTAAGATAAAACTGAGGAATCAAATATGATGAACATGATTGAAACAAAATTTTGGATTGCCCAATTCCAGGTTCCATGTTTTTATTATAGCTGTTTGCTTTTATGGTTTTTTTGTAACTGCGATTGTTCTTGATATGTTTCACTCCTTTGTCCTTATATCAACATTGCTCATCCCTCCGTGGTCTTTATAGTCAATTACCGGGCCATTACATATTAACATCACCACCCATCCGGAATGCGGAGACAATGAATATGCCTATACAATTTAAGCAATATATGTATACATTGTACACAATGTATACAGTGTATTCAATGCATAGTGTATACAATGATGTAAACGATATATGTAATAACATAAATGAGGCTAAACGTCAAAACATTAGTGAACCGGTATCAATATGAGCTTATTTTGTTCAAAAACCGAAGACAATCTTCCATCGAGTGCTGAATCTATCAAAAAAGTTGTCTAATTCAGCTACTTGTAGCACATGTGAGATAACTTTTATTATATCGTAATATGTTGCTGTCGGCGCGCTGTTTTACCAATTTCTGCTTGTCTAATAGAAGCACATATCAAATCAAATTGCGGAGTAAGAAGAATTAGTAAGAAGGCATGTGTATTGCTCCTGATGAATTACCGATAAGGGAGTTACCAATCTAAATATTGACGATACTGACGACGTTGGATGAAATGGGTGAATTTTGTTTACAGAATGCTTTTTCTTTTATTTAAGAAATTTTAGAAATTCATTTAAGTTGTAATTTTGTATCGATGGCGTTTTCGTTTTCTGGGCTAATTTGAAGACGAATACCTTCATATGGACGTTCTTAGCTTTTGAGATACAGGATATAAAGTTTTCAAAAATAAATCGTTTATTATCAATATCGGTAAATACCACAAATACCTTAATGACATTTTCCATACACGTTTTTTGTTTCAAGATGCATTTTTAAATATACTATATTTTCATTTCCACCAGTGGCAACCGTACGGGATTTTACCTGCCTATATTGACAGACATTGATGGCACGCGGCTCATTTCTCTCAATAAATTATTTTGAAATCCTCTTTTATTTCTAAGCAAATCTGATCTCTCAATTTTTTCAATCCGATGCACCGTTTTCCCTTAAAAAAGTAAAAACCGTTTCTCCGCATGATCATAACAATATCGTTAATACGAGCGTTAATATGACAATATCTCCATCCCGAGAAATAGCTTTTCTTTATGTGAAAGCCATGCGTGGACTAAGAAGAATTCTAGGGCTCAGACCTACTCACAAATATAGATTTCATTTTTTTATTCCAAGTGTCATTGCACTGAGCTTTATATTGGATGCTTCACCACCCTGTATCTCAAATATTAAGACGTTTAGGACTTAGGTTTATATGAAGTTACGTTCTTGAAATAAACCCAATTATCGTTCCCGTTGATGCTGACATTCAGTTAGGAAACACTCTGTTTATAAAAAAGACTTTGGTGCAAAAAGGTGTTGACTCAATTTTTTCGGATTTTAAGATGTGTAGTGCAAAAAGGTGTTAAAACGGTGATTTTTTTTGGTAGTACATCTATCCGACCAAATATGTCTCCGTTCTTAGATACAGAGATTCATAACAGTGTTACAACAGCATAAGTATATCAAAAAGTTTAATCTGTAAGCTTTAATCTAATCTAATCTAATCTAATTTATCTTACATTAAAGGTAAAAAGGTGATAATTCAAGAGTTAACATATGTTTGCATTCAAATTTCAATTCGTTTAAGTACGTTTGAACACGTTGTGAGAAGTCTTGTTTTTTCTGATTTGCAAACGAAGAAAAGCTGCGTCTGTTTGAAGAGTATTATTCTTTAGATCACAATACAGAAAGTGCCTATTTGTTCGGGATAACGGAAGCGTACAATGTTAAGCAGCCCTCTGGTCTTCAGAGGTATCATCAGAAGTCATTTAGGTGTTCCTTCAAAGTAGAAGGGGATAGTCAGCGTGCCTGTAAAGAAGCAATTATGTCCATATTAGATGTTGGATGGAAAAAGCTGGATTTAATTAGCTCCTAAGCAAAATGGAAGAGGCCAACATACTAGCAGACCCAGAAAAACTTCCAACGAAAAACGCAATTTGGTCCATACGCATATGAGATAATTCCCTGCTGAAGTATCTAATTATTCCCGAAACAAGAATCCGAACTGACTCTAAATTTCTCTATGGCTATCCATTAACAGAATGTATGCTTTGATGTAGAAGAATGTGCAAACGAAAATATCGCCCCAGTATCTTTACATACAGGCAAATATTTGCCAATGATTAACATTTTGCAAAGTATAAAAAAGCTTTTGAGGTACACAAATTTGAGCGAGGAACAGCAAAAACAAACGAAAAAAGTATGGCTCTACAATCTAGGGATACGTTTGATATCACCCCAGCAACCAAATGGTAAAGGTTTTTTCCGCGTCTTAGCCGAAGACCAAGGAAATCGCGGTCCTGAAGAGATTGGCAACTCACTTATGGCCTTTTTGGAAAATGTCAACGACCAAGGCATGGCTTCAGATCATCTGATTACGTGGAGTGATTTGGCAGGTGGCCAAAATGTAAATTTGTACATTGTCTGTCTCTCGTACTATCTAATAATCTCTGGAGCGTTCATAAAAATTAACCATAAGTTCCTTGATGTAGGACATACCTTCATGAGCTCTGATAAGAGATTTTGCAGCTGTAGAAAAGTCTATCAGAAAGCTCCAACTAATTTATATGGTGGATCAATATCTTTCAATCATGGTAGAAGCCAGAAATTTTCATTCAGAGATATAAGATGCATCCAGATGGAAAATTGGACTAGTGTTGATAGATATGGATAAAGATTTAATATTATCACTATAAGAAAACACCGAAATCTCGATAGATGAGTAGAAAATGGACCATTATTATTGAATGTCCATAGAAGCCAAAAAGGTTGATAATATTCAGGAACAAATTCCTTTAATACCAGCAAATTTCAGAGGTTTTTATCAAAATTTAAGTAGTGGAGTCGATTAGTTGCAGTGTGTGAATTATTTGTTATTACTTTTGTGAGTTTGTAATAATAAAAAGGAACAATGTTCACTTTTAATAAATAATATCATTGAATTAACACCTTTCTGATATCTTCATTGTCCAGACCAAGCAAATAACAGTGTTTTAGGGTGTCAAGTCAGATTTTCATCAATCTTTCTCGAACTTCTGATAATAAAAACAATTTTTTCAACAAAACTGTCTATTCAGTATAATTTTATGTGTCTAAAATAACCTTCAATAATAAAAGCAGCCGCAACACTATTCAATAAAAAATGTCAGGATTTAAACTTTGGGACCGATGACATGTATCCAAACTATAAAATCTGAGTTAACACCTATTTGCACCAAAAGCTTCACTTATAAAAATCTATATTTATACCTTTTCTAATTATTCAAAAATCACTTTCATAGGCGTTGCAAATACGCAAGAGACCTAAAGGGTATATATACACTGTCTACGTTATTTACTATTTACATTATCGACATGAATATCGAGAAGTATACAATTACAATTATTGTATACGCGTATTCAACTATTCAATGATGTAATTCACAACGCCCGCCATCACTAATTTACCTCTCCGTTTCAGGCGTATGCCGCTGGCGCGCCGCCAATCGGTGGCGGCCGGCGGCTGCACGGTCAGTGGCGGCGCCTGCCACCAACCGGGCATCACCCAAGCCTCGGTGCCGAGCTTCTTCCCCCACCACCCGCCCCGCAAACGCATCCCCAACGCGACCGTCGCGCAGGCGATCAGCGGCTTCGGCGGCCGGGCGATGCGATACTACCGTCTCTGGATTTACACGTGCAACACGTGCCTACTCGCCGGTGCGCTGGCGTTCGCGGCAGCCGCCGCCAGGACGGTACTCTTCGATTTCAGGAGGCAGCTGGTGCCGCAATTGGCGCTCTACCAGCCGTCCTTCTTGTATGCCTACTTGGCGCTCGTCACGCAAGGTAAGTATCAAAATGAAACTGTTCCAAACACTCCAGATATTTCAGTCATCTTCTTGCCGTATCATTGCAACGGCATGTCACCCTACAAATCGCCAGAGAAAATACGTAAAGGCGTATCTAGTTTTTAAAGATTTTTCAGAGCGTTTTAAAGAAATTTGCAGTATTATTTCAAACGTAAGTCAAAAATTACTACACTTATTTTATTTATTTATTTATTTATTATATACAAAGTAGGACTAATAAGATACATGACCCAAATTTTGGATACATTTCTGCAAAGGCATTATTTAATAATTCGTCAGGATAGATATGCCTTTACGTTCCGTGATTAATAATATTGCTTTTGCATCTACTTACAAGGTACGTGCTTTACTGATTGCATAGAAAGCAGGTTAAAAAGCTTGGATCTTATACAAAATACTGCATATCTGTAACAGTTGCCTTTTATTGCCGATGAATCATATACTTTTTTTTGTTATTGTTGTTGTCGCACAGGTTTAATTTGAAGTAATGCAGCAAAAACTTGAGAAGGAAGAAACAAAAGCCGATATTCTAATCTAATAATCTCCGTAGCATATTATTTTTATTCATAGCATATTATTAAATCAATTTTATTGACAAAAATGACTAGACCGGCCCATTGGCCATTTCCCAAGATAGGGCTTGTTTTTAACGGTGTATTTAGCTATATTTTTCTCACGTAATTCATAACCAAAATAAGTAACACGCAGACATTTACCTATTATCATGTTTATTTGAAATAACAAACATAACACATGAATACCACGGAATAACTATAATTTTTAATTTGTATCCGTTGTTTTTCTTCTGTAGTCGTTTGGCTGCCTGTATATAGTAGTCAGCATCTTCCATGTCACTGAACAATTTGGGAACTGAAACCAACTATCTCTCAATCAATTAAACATAATCCATCCTGATCTATTTTATAATCCAAAAATTTCAATTATTAAATTTAACGTACAGCAATCGCACTCCATTTTGATCATCTTGACAGTTTCTACCACTAAGTTTATAAATGTGTAGTCAATTTTCCATGCATTCAGGTAATTAATTGAAGAATTTACTCACCCTGATATGGACAATTTCTTCTTGTGTTGCCTAGTAATTTCCCTGGTTCACCATGAATAATAATTTTAGTATTCATCTCCACATATTTTCATAAATAACTCGGTTGCTTCCATCCCATGCTAGATCTTCCACCGTCAAGAAATCAATTCAATCTCGAAATTTTCGCCTCGGGGATTTGTTTACATCCCAACAACTATCGGGTTTGTCACTCTGGAGCTAAAAATAAATAAATAATTGTACATCTATGAATTGATATCACCTTCTGAATCAAAAACTATTTGTGTTGCATAAATATTATTACTCACCTATTGGACTATGTATTTCTTTTATAGTCAGATGAATTTATTATTGTTTTCTGAAATCTTCCAATGTCAAAGGCTGATGTCGAGGTACTATTCTGCGTACCGAACTACTTGCACACCTCGCTTGTACCTCATAGTTGCCAATTTTATTTCAGAATTTCCTTATGTTTATTAATCAATCAAATTTATATGCAGATATAACAGTGTTGCCACATTTATTCACGATATTTCCTTGAATTTATATTAGGAACTTCTCATTTTGGGATTAGCCGACAACGTTTGGCTCTTAATGGTCAGGCGTACAACTATATTTGGAAATGTCAAGTCGAAAAAATTAAATTTTGGGAGGGGACTTCCTTCCACTATCGGAGGGCCATCTTGTTCTATTCCGCTAGTGCCAGAAGACCTGAAATTTTCCTCCTTTTTTGCCTGGGGCATCTTCGTTGGATTGTGGAAGAAAATTTCATAGATAATTTCCTGGGTCATTCCTGTTGTGAGTGCGTAGCATCTTTTTTTTGTCTACCCTTGTACCCGAGAAATTCTACAATTTGTAGGATCTTATTGTCTTCAGCCGCACTTTTCGCCAGACGGAACCACGTGAAAAACCCTACCCGATATCATCTAGGGTTTTTATTTTGGGGGAATCTTTGCTACTGGAGATCCATTGACACGTTTTCTACCGGGGACCTCTTTCCGAACAGAGACCCTTTTTCCGCCATAGGGATTCTTACGTCACCGGTTTTGAAGCCTTCCTCGCCCATTTTAAATTAGTTAGTCAATAAGCTTTCGCATTAAGGGAGATCTCCTAGTTTGGCTGGCTTAAATTTTTGTTGCTAGCCGTTAGTAGATGTAAGAAAATGTATTGATGTTAATTTTAGCAATTATTTACCCACACAGAAAATCTATTGATTGCATGTATTTTTGTTTTTGTTTCTTGGGGTTTTGGGCTAAAGAGTGCCTTTCAACACCAAGGCGTCTTCCAGTTTTGGCGGATAAAAGCTGGTGGCGCCCCTAGAAAATACCCCCCCTACTCTCCGGTGTACCTGAGCATAGGGCCTAATTTGCCAACGCCAAACCACGGCTTTAGCCTCAGTAACCCCCTAGTTTTTTTTAATCATCCATTGCCTCAATTGAGAGAAATAACTTTAGGTTAAAATTAAAAAGTGATGTTAAGTAAAAAAAAAGAAAAGAAAGAGCGTGGCATATCTCAAAAACATAATGTTTATTTATTCTAAAAAGTGCAGCTAGTGACCATTAGAATCCTACACGTTTTACCTGAAGCAAAACAAAGAAATTAAAACAGCTTTTAAGAGCTTTGAAAACATTCTCTAACGACTTTATAAAACAAGAACTTCTATACTAATACAATAATAGCACAAAAAGGCTTGAACCATATACAATAAGTCATCCAAACGAAACTGAAAATAGAAAAGGTGGAAAATTGGAACTAAAAAATGTATTCACTTGTATGGGGTAAATTTGTATAAAATTGGACGTGCTCTGGTAAATTTATTACCGGGGTATTCCCAGTGATACCGCCATTAAATTTTTATTATTATTTTATTATTTTTCTAATGATATTGGACGAAGTTCCTTATTCAACGGATTAATAGTTGTAATTTGGAAAGGTGTAGGTTGCCGCTCTAAGGATAATAATAATAACAATATTTATTCACCCAATGTACGAAGAGAACAAACAACATGAGTAAATAAATAGAAGATCAAAACAGGCCCAATAGAAGGCATTGCCTGCACATGGACCAATAATTTTAAGTTGCAACTGTAGAATGCAAATGCCAAAAATTAGCCACAGTAGATTATGAATTTGCTTGATGTTCGTGTTTATGAGTTTATGAATTTCAGTCCTAGATATAGAATGTAGCCACTTTTTTAAATTTCTTTTGGAACAATTTCCGTAACGTAAATCTTTTAAGTCTTTAGGTATAATTTCATAAAATGTTCGCGCTAAATAGAGATATGTCCGCTGCATTATAGATTTATGCAGCTGAGGAACTACTGTGCCACGAATTTTGTACCTTGTTTAATGATTATGTTTATTTTTTTGGTCGGTGTTTAAAAATTTATGGTACTGAATGATACTGTGTAAGAAATAAAGCTGTCTTATATCATATATTCGAACATCTGCGTATAATTTGTAAGTGGGATAAAGATTCTTAAGCATTTTTAGAGTACTTTTTTGAAAAACATCTAAATTATAGATATGTGAGGAACATGCAGCTCCCCATCCTAATATATCATATGTGAGATGAGGCTCAATCAGTGCATGGTTTAATGTTGGAAGATATTTTTCTGTCAGTATATTCGCAAGGTATTTAACTTTGTAGGATACAAATCTAACTTTGTTTGAAATATAATTGAGATAGATGTCCCAACGTCAGCGAGGATTTGTTGATCATTAATGTTGGAGGAGAAATTTGTGTAACTTGGCAGATGTCTAGCATAAGATCCAAATGGTAAAAAAATTTCTACTGTTAAACCACCGAAAAATTTTGATAAAATCATTTTCAATTATATTTTTTAGATCAGACGTGCCATCATATAATATTGCAGTATCATTTGCAAAACTGGTTATTTTGCCAACAGAATTAATTTAGAAAATGTCATTTAAATATATATATATTGAATAACAGTGGACCTAAGACAGTACCTTGTGGACGATCCTGATATCTGGACAGATTGTGAGCGGTTTGACAAATAACTTTCGATCAGTGAGTACGCGTTTCCTCTGAAACCAATTCTCTCCAATCTTTTAATAATAATTTGTGATTAACTGTGTCAAAAGCCCTCTTTAAATCAACAAAAATGCAAATAGAAGCGATTTTGTTATCAATATGTTTATGCATTTTATTTACAATTTTAATTATAGCCTTCCCTTCGTAAATCCATATTGATTTTCACTTAAAATTTTGAATTTTTTGAGGTATCGAATCATTCTAGTAGATGAAACTTTTTCAAAAACTTTTGCTACACTGGATATTATTGATATTGGTCTATAATTGTTAACATCTGTTATTTCTCCTGATTTATGTATCGGTATTATGTTACCTTTTTTTCAAATTGAGGGATATATGCCAGATTCAAAGCATTTGTTGATTAGGTAAGTGAGTGGTTCTGTTATGTGGTCAGCTATAATTTTCAAATGCTCGCTTTTAGTACCGTGGAACCCAGGACTTTTTCGATTTTTTAAGGACATAACAGTGGTGTATACTTCACATTGCTCGACTTAATCCAAAATAAATGAGTTCAAAGATCTTTTTGGAAGCTGAGTAAGGGCACATTTGCTTGTATATTACTTGCTAAGTTTTCGTTTATGTCAGTAAAAAACTGTACAAATTCATCGTATGTTTGTTGAGTATTTTTTAATACTGTTTCCGATGTTGTATATAACTCACTGACACACTTTTCTTCAAATTTTGATTTTTTGCCCTATAATTTTTAATTGTATGATCGACTTTGAAAAATAGTTTGAAAGGATTCTTTTTGGTTACCATGAATTCAAAAATATCGGTCCACTCGGATCTCGGAGATCCGCCTTTCAAAGATTGTATTAAAGGCGTATCTTGAAAAGGGACTTCATGTCCAAATTTATTTTTTTCAACTGCGAAAAACGCCTCTTACCTTTAATTTCACATCTAGCGAACAGTGCGTTTTTGACATTCGCCTTCACGTCACGGATTGAAGCTCATTCAAATATGTGCATTGGCGTATCTGTCCAACTTTCACCGAATTTCGAGATACGCCTTTACGTATTTTCAGCGGCGAAATGACACGAACAGAACCTGTAGTGTTAAGTCGCTGATCAATGTCCTGAGTATTCAGGTAAGCATATACGCGATGTTCTCTGAATTTTGTTACCCTGGCAGCTGGAGAATCAAGGGAACAGTGTACCAGTAGCATGCTCTTCAAAAGGTATCGAAGGGCGTAACCTGTCAGGACGCGCGTACTATTTTTTCACATATGGTTGCGCGTCGGGTATTATTTACCCATAGTCTTCCACTTCCTCAAAAAGAAAACGGTTTTCATCATAAAATATAAGTACACTATAGAGATTTTACAAAAATAATTTTATTTACATATCAAAGTAATATTACATGTGTAAAATATATCAAATAATTTATTCAAAAAACATATAAAGATATTATTCGTTAGAAGAACCATGATCAAAGTTTACAACTGTCGGATAATTTAGATGACATTTTTGACAAATGGGTTTTACGTGTTCTCAACAGATTAGTTTGTTGCAGAAAAGGCAGGAAGCTTGTGTTTTCCTGTGTTTCTTTTTTTGGGCAGTCTTCACACCTGCCATAGGATCGCTTTTCTTTTTTTGGTGGAGGTACACCAATGACTTCCTCGGGGAGTAGAAGTTTGATACGAGCTTTTACGTCTGATGGAAGTGTATCAATGGTAGCTCGAATTTTGATATGCTCTTCTGTCAATTGTTTCGGAAGTGTTTTCAAAAATTCTCGTCCATACACTTGGGATGTATTTGACTGCTTTGAGTTATATAGGACCAAAGCATTTATTGGTGCCAGGTTAAGAAATAAAAAAAAAATTGTGAGAAGCCATCGAAATGATTTCCTAGAAACTGAATATGTACCACAAAGTTGATCCACTGTATCAACCCCACCGTTTGTACAGTTGTGAAGCATAATTGCCTCAGGTTTTTTTTCTGTGGAATTTGGATCTGAAGCAGCATCATGATGCATGGAGGATATCAGAAGAACTATTTTGTGTTTTGTGTCCGAACATGCTGCTATTTGGTGGCTTATCTTTAGTCACTAAAAATTCTTGGGGAACTTCGTTCTTATTTTTACGAAGGGTGCCTACACAAGTAAGGTTATGGTTTTTTATCAATTCTTCTACTAGTGGAACACTGATAAACCAATTGTCCATGGTGAGGTTTCTTCCAGTTCCGTCAACGGGTGATATGAGTCGCAGTACTATTGCTGAAAGAGTGTTATCTTGGCGATAGGGCCCTTCTGGTGGTTGGCTCCAGTATATTTCGAAGTTCGTTGTATAATTTGTTCGTGCGTCCGTTAGCAAGAATATCTTGATACTGTATATGGCCGGTTTACTCTTTTTATACTGGCGGAATGATCACCGCCCTCTAAATGGCTCCAATTTTTCATCGATGGTACCGTATTCCCCTATGGTGTATGCATCTTGGATATTTTTTATGAACAGTTCGGAGATTTCTCTAATGGGTGCCAGTGTGTATGTCGTCAAAACGAAGACATCGAAGCAACAATAAAAATCTTTTCGGGACATCGTACCAATAAATAAATTCATACCGGTGCCATCTTTGCTCCACAAATCTTTTGTATTCAGGCGTGCTGCTCGTAATACTCCAACTTGATACAGCAAACCAAACATGGCTTTCATTTCATTTTTACTTGTGTCACATGCGTCGCGTTTCCTCAGGAATTTGACTCTAATAGTTTGAATATAAATGTTTGTATGTTTGACGATAAGGTCTATAATCTCGTCCCTGATCACGCTTTGCCAAATTTCAAGTGACGTTTGAAGATCCTTTACCTTTCCCTTCGGTTCTGGCAAATGGCTTATGATATTACGAGCTCTTGTTCTTATGTTTTTCTTGGAACTGTTTTAAAGCATTTGAAACCATTTTTACCCACAAATGCAACAAAGCGATTCGCCAACAGAATGTCATCCTCTTCTTCTAAATTAAAATCTTCCTGTTCCTGCTCTGTGACAGTTCCATGTGCACTTTCTTCAACAGCATCAATTTCTCAATCATCACTTTCATATGGCTCATCCTCGATTTCGGACATTTCTTCTACTATTTGTTGCAATTCCAAATCAGTCAAGAACCTTTTAGAATTATAAATGTCGTTACGGTTCCCTTCGCGTTGGTTAGATTGCTTTAGATACTGACGGATTATTAGGTTTTACGTGGCCTTGAATCTCCTCACACTGTAATAGAAGAGCGACGAGGGATGCTTATGTCGTTGCAGATAATATTGAAAATAGACGTAATAGACGGACTTGCCTCTCCGAACCAACGCGGAGCTTCCATGCGGATTGATCTTATCCCCATAACGCTATGTTTCGCTTTCATGACCCTTGGCCGGACTGGAGACTGTAACGTGAACCAGCAAAGGTTTTGGAATGTTCACGCGGTCACGACTCACGATTCAGTTCATCACTTGAAGTCGACCAGCGATATCTAGGTATGCTGGAGACAGGAGGGTAAAATGCCTAAGGCCCGTATCGTCAGTCGTCCCTACAATAATTGTAGGGCGCGTTTATGGCCTCCTTGATTATCATCCTCCTTTCTCTCCTTCAAAAATATCTAGATTACACTTGTCCCGTGTCTATTTTCTTTTTAAATTGTAGGAAATTTCAGGCTGATAAAAAATGATATAACTCAAAAGCAAGCACAATTTGATGCAAATAGATGTTTGTGACATAACCTCAAAATAGAGTTCTGACTTGGAGAAGTAGAAAACTATGACAATCAAGGAGGCCATAAAGGCGCCCTACAATTGTATGGGCGACTGACGATACGGGCCTAAGACACGTATATATATGAAGCCAATACTGCCCTTAAGGGGGGCGTGGCTCTAGGAAATGTGCCCGTAGAGCTTCTGAGCATGTGCAATAACCTGCAACATGGCTTATTTTATACATATTTTACCCAATGGTTTTCACTCCATTAATATTGATAATCTCCGATGCATTGTTAGTTTATTAATATTAACCATAATTTCTGTTTCCAACTCGCCTGAACTGTCAAAACTGGAGTTGTTACCGTCCATGACGGAAGCAACATGACAGAGATATCATATGCAAAGAACTTGAAATATATTTCTAACGCAATGGCTGTAGTAAAGTCGCTACACGTTTGACTTAATATCCCTCCATGAGGTTACAATCCTGTCTCCAGTCCTCTTACCACTATAAAATACCACGTAGTGAAAAGTCAAATGTGTTTGATACCCATCGTGAGCGGTTCCGGACTTGGGTCTCTCCCGATGACGTCAGAAGCAAACTCATTGCACAATATTCAAATGAAGGCAACTAAAATTCTTCTTTTCTGTTAAAGGTACCATTCAGGTATTACGTAAGCACTACATGTGGGTGGGAGGGTCTTCGATTTGCTTATTTTCGATGACTTGGAGAAGAGGGTTCTCGGTGGTGATTACGTTAGGAACATATATTTTTTTACCTTTTCGGATATTCTACAAATTTAGTTGACCACATATGTCAACCCTGCTTGTCGGTGCTTGGACGTGGAACGCATCTTTACGGATTCTACAAATATGGATATGCTTACTCGCTTAGAACTTTAGCTACAAATGCTCCTGGTAGAAATTGGTTGGTATGATATTGCATCATGACCATTTTAGGTCTCATTTGGATAAACGTAGCTTTACAATTTTATAATTATAACATTTATGAAAACTCAATTTCAGGATTGCCGGAAATACAGGGTCGCCAATGTATAACTGACTGATTTAAATTGCGCGCCATTTTTGATACATGCATTTCAGTAGGTGGCGCCATAGTAGTTGTTTAAAGCTCATGCGTCCAATTCATCATGGAGCGCTACATGATCCCACAACGCGTCCGTATTGTTGAAACATTTTACTTGAAGAATGAATCGATTGCTGCAACGATTCGGAAGCTACGACAAGATCTTGGTCGAAATAATGTGCCCATTGTCAGGTCAGTTGGTGCAGAAATTTGAACGAACAGGTGAAGTTAAATGCCAAGGTCGGGCCGTGTTCGAACTGTTTGTACTCCAGAAAATATCGAGAGAGTTCGTGAAAGTGTAGTGGAGCGCCCTGAGAGGTCTACCAGATATCATTCTCAAGAGCTGGGTTTTCGCCGCACGTCATTATGCACTATTTTAAAAAAACTGGCGAGTGCTACCGTGATATGAAAACTTTCTGGCTCCTCAAATCCAACAATTTAACCTGCAAAGCATGTGATTCCAGCAGGTCGGAGCAACTTGGCACACAGCTAGGGAAACAATGAATCCTTTGCGAATAATATTTCCGAGACGTTTCATTTCTCGATTTGGAGATGTAAACTGGCCACCAAGATCACCAGATTTAACCGCTCCTAACTTTTTTTATGAGGATTTTTGAAAAATAGGGCTTATGCCAACAAACCAAATACTGCGGAGCAGCTGTAGACAATATTACGGAAGCGATTGGAAGTATGCCTCCCGAAACCTACCAAAAAGTGATGGAGAATGTAATCAAGAGGGCTCAGGTTTGCCGGCTTCTAGAGGCGGACATTTGTCTGATATTATTTTTCATACATAGTTTTCAAGTTTCAATAAAAGATTAAGATGAACAAAATGGACGTATTTTATTTCGTTTCACAAATATTCAAGACACAAACTAGACAGTTACATATCGGCCACCCTGTATATCAGCAGAGGTGTGGAATTCAATGGAAATTGATGGTTATCGTGTTACTGCAAAGTAAATAAGTAATACTTGAACGGCTTCAAGCCTTGCATTTTCAAAAAATACGATTACTGACCTTTCCCATGCCACACCTTGTAGATTCACGTACGTGTTTATTTTCAGGAGGAGCACTTCAACTTTTAGGCTGCGTCGCAGCTTTACGTTTGTCAGAAAAGTTATTGAACGCCTACTGGCTCCTACTACTAGTACTCCTGTTTGGCGACTTGGTATTAGGAGCGTTTTGGGCGTTCAGATTCGAAAGAATCTGCCAGGAGCTGAGACCTGCTCTCAGGCTCAAATTCGCACAAGATTACGGATCGGACGAGGAGTTCACGGACATGTGGAACAGGTAAATGCTTCAAAAAATCTTAGTGCTTATTTATAGCCAATAACACAGGTCAATATTTGATCTAAGAGTTATCGTTGGAACCCATAGAAGCATGTTGGAGTTTTTAGAATTACTGAAATCAATGACGTCGCCTTTTGACCTCAATCAAGTCAGGTAAAACGTAATTCCAAAGTCAACGCCTAAAAAATTTTTAAAATGTATATTGCAGTTTTTCAGTCGCTGGGTCCAAATCTCCCCGGCAAGTTCATCTACTAATAATAACATTAATTTGACCTTGCAGTAACCTCTTGGTGATCTTGCTTGTTAAATCAAACGCAAGCTTCAAATTCATCTACCCCAGAAACCCACAAATAGGTAAATGCTTATTTATGGCCAATAGCTCAGACAAACATTTGATAAAAGAATAATCGTTAAAAACTCTAGGAATATCTTGAGGTTTTTGGGATCGCTGAACTCAATGCCATAGTCATTTGAGCTCAATCATGTCAGATGGAAGATAATTTCAGGTTAACTAACCTACTAAATTTGAAAAAACGTATATTGTAGTTTTTTTGGATCGCTGAATGCAAATCTGTTGTTTGGCCCAGCAAGGTCATCCACTTTCACCTTGAAATAACCTTAATTTGACCTTGAAGTAACCTCTGGATGATTTTGCTTGTTGAATCACACGGTAGCTTTGGATTCAGCTACCCCAGAAACTCTCAAAGTATTACATATTGCTTATTTACGGCCAATAGCGCAGACCAACATTTGATATAAGAGTTATCGTTAGAGCCTATAGGAATATCTTAAGATTTTTGGGGTTGCTGATCCTTTGACCTTGATCATGTCGAGTATATATTGTATATTTTGAGTCGCTAAGTCCAAATCTGGCATTTGTTTGGTCCGGCAAAGTCATCCAGCTAAACCTTGAAATAATTTCAGTTTGACCTTGAAGTAACCTCTGGACGATCTTGCCTGTTAAATCAGATATCAGATTTTGATTTAACTACAACAAAAATCCACACGTGGTGGTTGCCAGATCGATTCACACGTGTTTACCCATGTTGGCATGGCATCACTTCGTTTGGTAAAGTAAATACCATTTAGATAAATAATCTCGATAACATACGTGTGAATGCTTTCAAATGAAACAACGTTAATGTTGCCTTGAAAAAATATCTAGGTGGCCGGGAATAGCGAACGGCATATTTGGATTCAGATGCCCAAGATATCTGTAGGTGGAGGTTTTCAAATGGACTTGTTTTTATTAGGTATGACCTTGAAAAACCCAATTTGGCCTTGAAATAACTCTTGTCAACGCAATCACAACCAAATTTTATGACAGTGACGCAAAAAACTGCAATATGTTCTTCTCAAAATTGTTCAAATTACTTTTCCAAATTTGACCTTGAATCGCGTTGAACCTGACTTGATAGAGCTCAACTGACATCAGGATTGATATCAGCGGACCCAAAAACTCCAATGTATTTCTATTGGGTCCAGAGATACTCCTAGATAAAATTATTTCTGCTGTTATGACTCCCGTACCGGCATTTTGAAGGCTTAACTATACAGGGTGACCGGAAAATGAAGAATGAGCTACTACATGGCAAAATTTTGTTTTAGTAAAGGTCTCATACTTTTCGAGATTTTCAGCATTTAATTTTTTTATTTAAAAGCTGACCATATTGAGTTAACCGCATTCCACTTCTACAAATATCAATTCTGCCATCAATATTCTAAAGTTTAAAGTTGAAATAAAATCCATGCTCAGGCCGGACTTAAGCACCCTGTATCGAAAAAGAAACCGGTAAAAATTTAACAACCAACGTTCTAAAATCAAAACACACATCGCAAATTCAACGAGATTTAATAGATGGGTGTAGCTACCTACCTTCAAGGGTAGTAGTTTTACAGCACACCGTTATTAAGTCCTAACGTCGCTATAAAATCTTTTATCACCTCCATAATTGAGCTGGATTGATGGATATTGCAAAATGTGAGCTTATAAGCAGTAACAGCTCTATTACTAAAGTACTAACATATCTGCTAAATACATTAGTTTACACTTTTAATAGAACTTGCTAATCCGACAGCCGTTGTCCTGTCTTAGCTATGAACTGGGATGAATAATGAATAGTAAATGGGTAAATATACGGAATGTAGGTAATTGTATAGAGAAGTTTTAATACATTGGCAGCACTGCCATTCCCCCATCAACTTACCTTGAGAGTTAATGAACTTTGTTGCGCCACATGACGTCATTTGAAAGCAATTATGGTATTGCCGAGTCAAAAAATGTATAGAATCTGGCCCATTTCTGGAAACCAATGAACGTAGTGGCTTTGGTAGTGATACCAATGGAGTCAATTTGATTTTTCCACTGACGCAACATAATCCAGGGGCTTCATTTTTAAACTTGAAAGCCTTGCAATGTGGATTCACAACGTTCATTGATTGGTCCAATAGCAACGACTTGTTGTGAACTGTCATCGATTGCTACGCCATAATTGAATGCAGCTCGATTGGGATTAAATGGGACACTTCTACGTTGTTGAATTTCAGTCCTTCGATCCCATTGAACTTCATTTGTCGCTTCTCGTTGCTCGTCAGTGTGACTTCTTCGTATATATCTTCGACTTGCAGTATTGCGAGTTCTGCGACCTAGGTTGGTACGTCTAATTGGTGGCATTTTGAAGAATCACAATTTTGATGTATGGCGTGATTGCTGTGAACTAACTTCCAGCCTTGTTAATTATGGTTAAACAAATACTTCTCAAAAAACTCACTGAACAAACTGGAAACTGGATAAAAGCTCTAATCGAATGGACTGAGCACTACTAATTAAACGAAACAATATTTTTTCATCGATAAACACTGTCACACGATAATATAAATTTGCGGCGTACGACCTGTCAAGTTCAAAATGTTAGAGTAGTGAAAGTCCATTAAGCAAAAGAAACGTATTTGCATCCGCCATTTTTATCAATAGAGTTAACTGACAAAGATAAAAATTAGGCAACGCTGCCATTTCTTTTGAAGGGGTGATCACAAAGTATGAATGGTAAAGAAATGTAAGTCCAAAACAAAACCACCGTGTTTTCATAAGCAATTTTCTCTCACATAGCTAACTGTCAGTAGCTGTTGGAACAAACGGGAGGAGTGTCTGTCTTTTTTGGTACTTAATGTATCTCTTCTGCTGTGCGTGTTTTATGCTCAAGCAAACTGTCAATCGCAGCAGGAAAATAATGGGCAAAATCCGCAAAAAGGAGGAATGTGGATTCGAGCAGAAAATAGGATAGGTAACCCGAGCGATACGTATTTCTGCTGATTGGCTTCATCAGGCCCGAAATGAATGCACATATGAAACTACAACTTCGTTTCCTCAGGTTACACCCGTATCCAGATGTGTGGGCATGTGTATCTACTTTTGTAGTTTCATATGTGCATTCATTTCGGGCCTGATGAAGCCAACCAGCAGAAATACGTATCGCTCGGGTTACCTATCCTATTTTCTGCTCGAATCCACTTTCCTCCTTTTTGCGGATTTTGCCCATTATTTTCCTACTTGTTGTTATATATATAGGGATAATAATAATACAGATGTGCGGCTCAAATTGCATATCGTAGTCTTGGGCGTGAAAGGTTCTAACCCACATAGACCAAGTTTTGAACTAGCGCGGGTATAAAAAAAATATGTTCCCAGAAAATCTATGATTTTGTCACTAAAATAAATATAAAAAAAGCAAAAAAAATATATTTGGGCAGTTTTATTCTAGGATTACGCTTAACTATATAAATTGGAAACCATTTTTTTCGGCATTACTAAAAAGTTATGTGACTTAGCTCCATTCACTACAATGAATCTGGATATGATGATATATAATTTTAAGATGTAAAAAGATTTAACCGTCTATGATATTTATATAATAGATATAACAAATACTCAGCTATTTTCTAAATTATGTCTTTATTATACGGTATTATTTGGAATACATGACATAGACAAACACCTATTCCATCACTTTTCATCGGAATCCATGGTCCTCAGTGCCTTATAAAATGCATGATAAGGAGACTTTATGGCATCAGAGTCGCACAGTTTACGCAGACCTGTCATCATTCTTGTCTCGATTGTTAAAATATTAGTGTACAATTTAGGCACAGCCTGATTTATAACGGCTGTACTACTTCTCGTGTATTCTTTTTTGACCACAATGGAACGGAACACAGAGTCACTTAGACGTTCTTTAAAGAATATTTTGATAGGTTGTTCTTCCCTATATTGTATCCAATTTACTTTCAACCAACTTAAGGTTCCACCATCTTCAATTTCCTTTTTGTTAGTTATCGCAGACTTGGAAAACTCTTTAAAATTTAAGAAATCTGAATAGTTCATTTCGATAACATTGTAAAATGGTGGCTTAGTTTTTTCAGTTCAAGCTACTGTGTACCAACCTTCTGAGGTATAAATATTTATTTTATTGCCACGGTTTTCGATAGCAGAATGGACACTATCGTACTCCATCTCAGAGTGGCCAGACTCCATGAATTTTTGGTTAATGATATCCATGGGTAGCAAATGTATAGCACTTAAAAACATGGCGGCATTGATACAGTTACGATTTTGCCCTGATGCTGTGTCTGCATAGAATGTAACTTCTTTTACTTCATTTCCAAGACGACTCAGAAGTGTCCACAAACAAGTTGCAATTTCGGAGGAACCCTTAGTACCCCCACACCTTCACGCCACATCAAATTATCAGCCTGTGCATTTGCTAAATTATACACTGTGAAATTGAAAGTTTTTAGTTTTTGGGTACAGTATAGTTTACCTACTTGCAATGAAGGTGTTCAAAGAATTTTTTCCATGTCTACAGCAAAAGACACGAATGATTTATCAAGCTTAGCTCTATTTTTGTCCGTTTGTTTTGATTCTCTAGCCTCTGTTTTTCTAGCTAAGTGAACTTCAACCTCATCTTGCATTTTTATCTTTT